CTCGCTTAATATGCATTTTTTCCTAATTTTGGCAACGTACGTAATTAGAGGAACTCTTCAGCTTTCAAACAAGCTAAAGTAAACCAAAATCGGTCCATTAGTACGGAAACGCCAATTGTTTTAGTCAAACTTGCTTTACTGAGAAGTTTGGAAATGGCGTTTAGCGCCTTTTCGCATAAATACGTCCAAATATTTTTCCTTGGAATTTTAAGAAATACCAGATCGAATTGTGAATTATGTTCATTGAAAAATTGAAGGGTGAATTCCTAGATTTCAGAGAAAAATCGTGTTTTTCCGAGGGAAACTTAGCAATATCCGAAGTCCCATACGATGTTTTTTCTGAGCCCGGCGGCAGCATTGTAGGAAAGTACCCAATTTATGCTCCGTGCCAGGAGGAGCGCTTGACCGCAGTTGTGAATCCGTACTTTATCTGCGGCGTTTGTCCTTCGGGCTGAGCAAATATTCATAGGGCGGAGGGGGTTGGGGAGGAGGAGACCGGGTCGTTACCGCAGTTGAGACTTTTGAACGTAGATTGTAATTTTTATTACGGCTTTGATCTAGCGACTGTTTTGTGCCGTCGCGGATGCACGGTGAACTTATCGAACCACGAAGTTCGAATTGGCAATGAGATGAGGAGCCGCAGAAATGAACCGATCGAAGCAGGACGTATCCTCACAACAGAATCCACCTCCATCCCGGTGGTATTTCTACATATTGCGACTTCTTAGGCTTTTATGCTTTGGAAATTGAACACACGTTAAACCCTCTACATATATTTTTGTATGCAGGGTATGGGCTGATTATTTAAATTGATAGACAAAGCGGTAGACAAAGGAAACAAAGAGAAAATGGAGCGATTATGTATTAGTGCAAGTTGGGCAAGTGGTGCTTTGGTTGCTGGAAACAAAGGAGGTAAACTAACTAACGGCGACAGAGGAAATGCGCTGTAGTTTCCCATCATTTTTCTCCTTGGCCCATAACAAACACCACTTCCACCAGGAGGATCGGTCCATTTTCCCTTTGTCCTCTCTGTCTATCGCTTTGTCTATCAATTCCAATAATCAGCCCGCTGTCTTACCTAATCTGCCGTGATACCGAAAAGAGGATCGAGGAGGTACAAAAATGAAGTAATGAGAAAATGGATCTGGAAGCGTCTGAATGGAAAATTTTACGCAACGAATCCTACGTTATTCATGGACTAATTACAAATAATCATCCGACATAATCTCGAAATTTGCTCAAAATATTGGAAATTGACGAGATTTAGTTTTGACTGTTATAAAGGGTAGTTTTTAATTTCATGTTGGGTAAACAGCAGTGAGTAATATGTGTGTGTATGTGATCAGACATTTTAAAGTTGTTTTAGAGCTTTTCTCAGGTTCAGCAATTGGCGTGTGACCCATTCCGTTATTTTTCTGTTCAGACCTCCAATTTTTCAGATGTATATTCAGGATCGTAGACTTCAAACGGCTGATACATTGGCGTTTATCTTTTTTTCATCATTGCCTTAATTAAAACCCTTTTTCATGGGGGGAAAAAACTTATAAGACATTGGATACTGAATTCAATTGATTGTCACCGTGGAATCTACTTCACGCAATGAAATAATATTGTACGTATGACGCAAGATTCAAGCCGGAAGAGGTGGTTGCTCAAAACAAAACCCATTGGTGAATTTAGAGCCTGCAAGTTATCTCATCTGCAAAAGTGAAAGCGCCCAGCAGAGCCAGACTTAAGATACTTTTTTACGAGCGCTAAAAGAGGAGTTGTAAAAAAAGAGGACAAAGGAAGAGATGTTATAATTTCTCTGGAGGATTAAACACTGATTTTATTGTTTCGTGTTTTATTGCGCTAGAGGACTTCGTCGTAAAATAAACACAATTATATGGGAGATATTTATTTGTCTGTGCTGCTGATCGAGCACTGGGGAACGTGGAGAGGGAGACCCACCCTCATTGAGTGACGTTTTTATTTTTATCCTGATTGATCTGCAAAACTGCTAAGATGTGTTTAGTGCCTATAATCTCACATTGTTGGAGAAATTACAGAGTTTTTACTGTAAACCATAGTAACTTTCTCCCATGATCCGCGATTTGAAAGTCTTCCATCAAATTTCATGACTATTCGCCTTATTCTTCTTCTTCTTCTTCTTCATTGTTTCACCCCTCCCCTCACACTGTCGTGCTTAGGGAAAAACCCTCGTATGAACTTTTAGACATTACCATATTTCTTCTCATAAATAACGGATTTACTGCAGGGAAAGTTCTGCATATTCTTCTTTCAATTTTTCAGACAATTTTGTTTGCATTTTAATCGATAATATCTGAAAACTATGAGGTAGCATATGAATCTTTTTCCTCAAAGTAAATACTTTAACAGGAGAAATTTGGCAACACTTGAATTCTCAAAATAATGCTTGATAAATGTAACAGTGAATTATTGTGAGAGATTATAATAACCCAATGTTTTAGAACATATTCACGTAATTTTTTTATTTTATTTTATCACCTCATTCAATTTTTCCGAGCTCAAAATAATGAAATAATCGCCCAGTGAGAAATAAATCGAAAGTGAGGGTCTCATTATTTTAGTACTATTTTCTCTGCAACAATGGAGCATATGATGCAGTCGAATTCTTTCTTAGTATTAAAAATAAGAAGGTATTAATTGTTAAATACCTACGTCATATAGTTTCCTTGTAAAAGAGAGGGTCTGGTGCCAAAAATAATTTCAAAAGTTTCATAAGACTGATGAAATGATAATTACCGCGCATAAAAAGAAAGAATATATATTAAATGTCCATGACACTTCTTTTGAATCTTTGAGCAAATTTTAAAATAAAGTTTCCTCTTACCCAAATTGTTTCATTCACCTGATTCTTTTAAGCTAATAAAGAACACCTCAATTACTTCACTAGCCGCGAAAAGCATTTCTAGCGCAAGTTGTTTGTATTCGCTGCCCCCAAGATCCTTGAAGGCTGAAAATTATTGCTAGAGATTTCGGTGATTGCATTCGAGGTCGATAGTACCCTCCACTTCAACCATTCTACCCTTATTTTTGTTCCGCAAGCCGCGAATTGCCCTCTTAATTAACTCTCCTCCATAATTCTCGCCTGCTTCGACTGATTTAATCCATCACCCTCTCAACGAAGAGAACCCACTATAATAACGAAATTATGTGCTTGAGGCTATCGCATTTCTCAGTATTTGCACAACCACTGCATTCACGGACTAAGCTCCAAAATAACATAGACAAAAATCATTTTTTTGGGGGAAAAAATCCCGTCAAATTGTCTCTAGGCACTACAAATTGTATTATATCCGCAAATGAAAGCCAACTACACAAATCAATTGATTACTAAATTATTTTCAGGTTCAATTTGTGTAATTTCCACAAATTCGGTAAATTGGTCTACAACTTTCAACACGGCTAAACTTGTATCGTTTCACTTACCGCAGAAAAATGACGTATATTATATAGCCATAATAATTTTCACTAAAAAATGAGGAAAAATTGAGAACTTATTTCCAGAAAAATGTATAACGGGGCTTTTGAATGGCCATAATTCAGTAGTATAAAACGAAGCAAGTTGTCCGCAGCCTGGTTTTGGCAGCGCATTGCAAGCCGAATGAGCCCTTACATATACCCGAAATAACTTTAAATTTAGTAGCGGAGTAACCATAATTCAATGGAGTCCCTTCATACTGAGAGTTAAGACAATTCGAATCCAAATCTGATTGGTTCCCAATTTAAGACCACAGTGTCTCAAACGGTATTAAAAATTACGTTGTCACCAATTGCAAGATTTTAATCTGAAATTGACCGGGGAATACGGGTTCGGCAAGGAACAAACAGAATGAGAAAAGGGACGAAGAAAGAAATTTGAGAATGAGCTGATGAAAGATTACGAAAAACTATCAATTTGTGTAATCTTTATTCCCGTTTGGGACTACATGAGCAATTGGGGGGGGGGGGGTGTCTTAACGCTCACTATAAAGGGACTCTGTAGTTCGGTAACTACATTTTATCCGTTTCGAGATATCAAGAGAAAACTACTTGTTGGCTTTCTTACTCCCCATATAATTTGCAATTGATGAAGTTTTGCATGTCGACTTTGGTCAAACGCGAGATCCAAAACTTCCATCATACAAAGGAATATTTGAGAAAATCCTTTTATAAAAATATGATAGCGTTAATTTGAAAGGAAATCCTTTCACAGGATTAAAATTATTTTCTTCTGAAAAAAAAAAACAGAGAGATAAAAAATATTGAAACTATAAAGCATGAAAATATAGCATAACTTTTATGAAAGCTTCTCGCCTTCCTCTTCCTCCACGTCCTCCACGTCCTCCTCTGCCTCCTCTTCCTCCTCGTCCTCCTCCGCAACCTCTTCTGCCTGATCCGCCTCCGCCGCCTCCACCTACTCCACCTGCGCTCCTCCTCCGCCTCCTCCGCGACCTCCTCCGCCTCCACCGCCTCCTCCGCGACCTCCGCGACCTCCTCCGCCGCCTCCTCCGCCTCCTCCGCGACCTCCGCGACCTCCTCCGCCGCCTCCTCCACCTCCGCCGCCTCCTCCGCCTCCTGCGCGACCTCCGCGACCTCCTCCGCCGCCTCCACCGCCTCCACCGCCTCCTCCGCGACCTCCTCCGCCGCCTCCTCCGCCTTCGTGACCTCCGCGACCTCCTCCGCCGCCTCCACCGCCTCCACCGCCTCCTCCTCCCCGACCTCCTCCGCCTCCACCACCTCCACCGCCTCCACCGCCTCCACCGCCTCCACCGCCTCCACCGCCTCCACCGCCTCCTACGCCTCCTCTGCAAACTCTGCGACCTCCGCGACCTTCGCGACCTTCTCCGCCTCTTCCACCTCCTTAGGAAGAGGTGGAGGTCGCATAGGTTACGGAGGCGGAGGTCGCGGAGGCGGAGGTTGCGGAGGCGGAGGTCGCGGAGGCGGAGATCGCGGAGGCAGAGGTTGCGGAGGCGGAGGTCGCGAAGGTTGCGGAGGAGGACAAGGAAAATGAGTAGGACACGGAGGCCGAGGAGAATGAGTATGACAAGGAGGCCGAGGAGCATGAGTAGGACAAGGAGGCCAAGGAAGACGAGGAGAATGAGGAGGACAAGGAGGCCAAGGAGGACGAGGAGGATAAGGAGGACGAGGAGGGCAAGGAGGATGAGAATGTGGAGGACGAGGAGAACATGGAGGATGGGAGGGACGGGATGGACGAGGTGAATGAAGGAGCTTTCATACAAGTTTCAACACCAACATTTATCTTTCATGTTTTTAATTTTTTCAGAAGCAAATCATTTAAACCCTGCGAAAGGATTCATTTTCAAGTTAGTACAATCAGTTTTTAGTAAGGATTCTATCAAATATTCTTTTGTGTGATGGTATGTTTTGGATCTTGTTTTACCTCCCCTCATCGTCGAAACTAAATGAGGCCTCTCAAGGAACGACCATGAAAATGACCTTCAGTTATTGTTTTTGGGTGAATTCTGACTCTTAGCATTGGAAGAAAAGGAATAGGTATATAGAGGGGTGTGCGAGCAATGCGCCGAGTGCATTTTTTCGAAGAAAGCGGAGAGCAAGAGGAAAGCTAGAAAGCCCTGGACGGATACTGCGACGAGGAGCGGCGCGGGACTGCGACTGCGGGTGCGAGGCGAGGGTAAAGAAGTCCCATAAATAAAATGGAATTATGGCAGATGACGTTGGCTGATGATGGACTAGGAGAAGGAGCTTAGCATCGGGACAGACTCGCGAGTTCCTGGGTGCCGCAGATAAAAAAATGAACGGATATACGTCCGTATTAGCTTGAGTAAGTGCGTGCTTTCTTCCTCCGCCCAAGTGACAATCAAAGTCGAGCAGAGTCTGGGATATTAATTATATCGAGGATCCGGAACTCGTTCCCGCAATATTTGAATATTTTTTCCCTCGCAGATGAAAATACGGTGCAACGACTCGGGTCTACACTGTAAAAAATCATCCCTCTTCTTATCCTTTCACCCTGCTCTGGTGTAAAATTACCCCAATCGCGGTGTTGCCTTCTAGTAAGATTCACCGTGTCACACTGAAAAGAAACAAAATGGCTCGAGGCATAGTGATATGACAATGTTAATCACCAACAAATTGGACGTATTTCTATTAAACGGAAGTATGTGCATCGTGACGTGAGCCCTGTAATGCATATATTCTTATGGGTCTCAGGGCTCATGTCTTAATGCACATAGTTCCTTTTGATAGAAATACGTCAAATTGTATGATAGAAAATACCGCACCTGTAATCGCATTCACCAAAAGTGTGGTGATGGTGGTTATCTTTACTGTTACCCTTCCGTATTACTGTGTCAAGAATTGAGTAGCATAATGGAATTGACCACAATACTCCTGGTTTTGCGATACCATTTCTCAGATTTTTAGGGGTGCACGTCTTCGACATGGCGCCGCGTTTAACTGAGTATTACTCGATCGGCAGCGTGGTTATTTTTCGTGCGTTTCAGGAATTGTTAAGTTTTGAAAAAACGTTTGTAGAAAGCAAACGAGTAGCTTAAATTAAGGAGCATCATCCTTGATTTTTAAGAAAATATTTTGTGGTGACAGATTATGGATTTTTGTGGTGGTTTTTGCAAATGGTTCCTCCCCCCTTCTCGTAGAGCTCTACAAATCGCTTAGGCTAATTTTAATTTCATATGTGTCTCTGTCTATGATATGTCTGTGGTCTTGAAGAATTCCGCATGAACATGTTTTAAGTATACTTCAAAACCCATAATGAACTATTAATGCTAAAAAGAACTATATGTGTGAATGGATAAAATGAAAAGAAATCATGGAGTACGCAAACCTTTTTTACACTGTTCCTTCAGATTTCTGTCTTTTCGACATGGCCCCTTTCAGCATAGATACATCCAACTGAAAATATTCTTCTTTTGTTTGAGTGTGTCAAAAACTTTTTTAATTTCAAGCCCCCTCCCACCAGCTGAATATCCCCGGTTGTTTCATCGATTTTCCGAATCCAATCTTGCACATGTATCTCGGCAAAGGAACGCAAACTGCTCAACTGCTACACCCCTGGTTCGGGTGGTTTCGATAATAGCCCCATTTATTACATACAATGTACTATATTTCAACGAATATGAGCTGGTCGCTTGCCTTGTTGGCTCTTTCATTTGAGCTGAGTGTTGTTTTCTTTTCATTTTCGCACCGAAAGCGGGTAATATCGTGCCCGGCTGCTGGCTAGCATTATTCACTTTTACTGGCCCAAAAAACTATTAATTCGAGATATGAAGTGTGCACCCTAACCGCAGATACATGTACTTGCGCGGGTCCTTACCGAGATAAAATATTTGCCTCAGTTCCCACTCTCCCTCCACTCTCTGCAGCCCCGCTTCTAACCAATGATTCCTTTGGAGGGCCATACCATCGCCCTTCGGATTTTATCGCGACCCCTTATTTTCTGCTCCAGATGATGGGGGAGAGAAAGAAGGGGAGAGGGGGGAGCATTGTAGTTTCCTTTTCTTAAATTCGAATCTCGGACGCGATTTCACCAAATTCTGACAAATCGTCTGGTTCTTCATTTCACCAGGCAGTTAAACACTTCAAAAAAAAATTAAAATAATGGAAATGCGTCTTATTTATTAAAGTAAAAATGGTAGGACGATTAAGAACCGTCTCGGAAAATATCATAATTTCCAGCCAGATCTTGCCGACAATTAGAAAACAACTGAAAACCCAAGTGAGTAATACTAGGTGAAATTCAGGTTTTCAACTGGTCAAAAAAAAAAGAAAGAAAAAAAAGAAAAAAAGAAGAAGAAAAAATGTCACTTCTCTCTTATATATTGCTAGTGTTATTGAAGGGTTCACTAATTTAGGAGGTTTTAATTTCCTCCCTATGAGTAGGATTTTATAAAATCTCCAGGGAACAACTTGAAATCAAATCAGATTTGATGATGAATCACATATTTTCTGTGTTAATTATTTATTTATTATGTATTTGGTTAATTATTATTAACCAAAAAGNTGTAAAAAGTATTTTTACAGTAATTTACAGTATTTTTATAGTAAAAATAGTTAAAAGTAGTAAAATTTTAGTAAAATTACAGTCAAAGAGTACATCACTACTAGGAGCTTTTTTCATCATTTGGCATTACTTTTGTTATTCTTTTTTTTCTTTTTTACCTTTTGAACTTTCTTCTGACTTTTACCTTCTTTCTTTTTGGTGAGGTTGGTGGGATTTTTGGCGAATTTAGTGGAAATTCTTTTCATGAAGTCATAAAAGGACATCACTTCGCCTTCTTTGTTGGGGATTCTTTCATCAAATCGCTTGATGACAGCATCCACCCACTTACTTTTTTTCTTTACCTGGGATCTCCGAAAATCTCTAAATGTCCACTTCGACCCTCTGTGCGCCGAAATTCATGTGGGTGGCAGTTGTCAAATTTACACGGGTGGCAGTTTTCACTACCGGTGGCAGTTTCCAAATTTATACGGGTGGCAGTTTTCATACAAATTTCTTGAAAACTGCCACCCGGGTGGCAGTTTGCCGTCGCCCGTTTTTACGAGCGGTTCCTCTGTTATACAAATCGCTTAGGCTAATTTTAATTTCATATGTGTCTCTGTCTATGATATGTCTGTGGTCCTGAACAATTCCGGATGCACATGTTTCAAGTACTTCAAAACCCATAATGGACGTATTAATGCTAAAAAAAACTATATGTGTGAATGAATAAAATGAAAAGAAATCATGGAGTCAGCAAACTTTTTTACACAGTTCCTTCAGATTTCAGTCTTTTCGACATGGCCCCTTTCAGCATCGAAACATCCAACTGAAAATATTCTTCTTTTGTTTGAGTGTGTCAAAAACTTTTTTAATTTCAAGCCCCCTCCCACCAGCTGAATATCCCCGGTTGTTTCATCGATTTTCCGAATCCAATCTTGCACATGTATCTCGGCAAAGGAACGCAAACTGCTTAACTGCTACACCCCTGGTTCGGGTGGTTTCGATAATAGCCCCATTTATTACATAGAATGTACTATATTTCAACGAATATGAGCTGGTCGCTTGCCTTGTTGGCTCTTTCATTTGAGCTGAGTGTTGTTTTCTTTTCATTTTCGCACCGAAAGCGGGTAATATCGTGCCCGGCTGCTGGCTAGCATTATTCACTTTTACTGGCCCAAAAAACTATTAATTCGAGATATGAAGTGTGCACCCTAACCGCAGATACATGTACTTGCGCGGGTCCTTACCGAGATAAAATATTTGCCTCAGTTCCCACTCTCCCTCTACTCTGCAGCCCCGCTTCTAACCAATGATTCCTTTGGAGGGCCATACCATCGCCCTCCGGATTTTATCGCGGCCCCTTATTTTCTGCTCGAGATGGTGAGGGAGAGAAAGAAGGGGAGAGGGGGAGCATTGTAGTTTCCTTTTCTTAAATTCGAATCTCGAACGCGATTTCACCGAATCCTGACAAATCGTCTCGTTCTTCATTTCACCAGGCAGTTAAACCCTTCAAAAAAAAAATAAAAAATAAAAAAAAAATAAAAATAATGAAATGAAAGAAATGAAAATGCGTCTTATTTATTAAAGTAAAAATGGTGCGACTATTAAGTATCTTCGCGCAAAATATCTCAATTTCCAGCCAAATCTTTCCGACAATTAGAGAACAACTAAAAACCCAAGTAAGTAATACGGGGTGAAATTCAGGGTTTCAACTGGTCAAAATAAATAAATAAATAAATAAAAGGTTACTTCTCTCTTATATATTGCTATAGTTTTATTGAAGGGTTTACTAATTCAGGAGGTTTTAAACGTCAGTCTACACAAAGCCTCGAGGCTTGTCAGAAGTTGTTAAACTTATTATTTCTTCTTCCTCTTCTTCTCCCCCTATGAGTAGGATTTTATGAAATCTCCAAGGTAACAACCTGAAATCAAATCAGATTTAATGATGAGTTACATATTTTCTTTGATGGAAAGATAGGCTAGGATTCGCTGTCTGATTCGAAAAACAACAAGAGACTGCTTTTGCTGTT